GCTGAAGTCTTGAAATTTCCACACCGAATAGCAATTTTCAATAGCTTCAATTTGATATATAGTCCGACGTTTGGGGTCAAGTATTTCTGCTCATAACTCAGAAAAACTATTTTGGCTTCATCAAATCATAGGCCTTTATCATAGTGCAGTTAGCCTTCCAGTTTATTTATAGTTCAATGTGCTTTACTGGCCAGAGTAATGGCGGCCAACCGGAAGTCGCACCTGTCGGTGGCATCAAAAAGTGAGCCATCTATCCATTTCTTAATCTTCTTTCATCTATTCAAAGAGTGAGCCATCTATTCATTTCTTAATCTATGCCACAGAACTAAGCCGCCATTTTGGAGCAGAGATGTTTCCCGAATCGGTTTCTAAACAGAATGCTGTCACAGGTTTCGAACCCCTTCCAGAAAAACGAAAAAACCGTGCGAGATGCGTATCCATAGTAATATGTGTATTTACAACTACATTGGTAATCGCGTTCTCTACCGTCGATCGAACCATGGACGAGTACTACCCTGATACAACTCAGAAAAATACAACAGATGTTTGCTACAGAAAGTGGAAGTCAGATAAGTTTGACTTGCTCGCAACCGCGTTGGGCTTATTTAGTATCGTACTCGGCGTGTTGGTCGATCGCTTGACGCTTATTGCCGAAGAACGCCATCATCTACATCAACGCTACGACGGAAGTTGCGAAAAGATGATCAAAGCTTGTTTCAGTGGAATCTCATGGGGTCTAGTAATCGCTTTGCTTGGTTTAGCCGCGATAATTGTCGTTATTCGTATCATCACAACGGGTATGCCGCGGTTTGAGCTAAGATATCTTGTGTATATTTGCAGCGGAATCGGCGTGGGCCCACTGATAATGCACTTGCTCAGTCTCAACACAAAATCCGAGGTTCATATTTCTACAATTCTCGAGGAAAAAGGGATGTTTGTGGCCAACGGACTCGCGTGGTCCTACTACTTTAACTATCTTCAACAAGCACTGCCAAAATTTAATGAAACAATTAACTGCTCCTTTCCTGTTCCATATGAACACATTAGACTGTCCTTAGATAAACTGCTGTTGCTCATACCACTAGATGGCTACGTGAAAGGCGACTTGAAAGAAGTAGACGGAAAAATTGAAAAGTTATTCGACACTGGGAATGAACAGGACCCTTTCCATTTCCCTGTTTATCGCTTAACACTCAGCGACCGTGAACACAAATATTTTGCCATGCAATACGTCAAAGAACCTTTAAACATTTTGAGAGAAGTGAGCACATTGCCGGAACAGGAAAATGCTGTGCTGAAAAGACAACCTTGTATTAAGAACGAAGTAAAATTGCTTTACCGAATGTTGTATGGAATATTGAAAGATCAAGTAGACCAGAATTTCAGAGGGACGTGCATACTCGTACCTATAGGGAGTTCGGATGGTTTAGAAAACGGAGGACTAGTAAGACTTATCATGAACAGAGTGCAACATTCATGCACACAAGTTAAAAGTGCTCCTGTGTTTGTGAGACAGAAAGACGATGCAAGGTTGTTTGTTGGTGAAAGTAGATCATCCACGTTCATCGTTGAAAATGCACAAACCCTCAAGATCGGAGGCTTAACTCATCAAGTCAACATCAATGGCGAGCAACAACGAAAGGGAACGAGGTCTGACTCTGAGACAACAAACGGACACGATAATGAGAGAAATGATAAAAAAGAAAAAGGAGGGAAAATTTTGAGAGTAAGGTATAAAAACAAAAAATCCGAGATAGAGCTACAGGTAATGATCCTATCAGAGAATCTTGAACATCGTGAGCCTGAAGTTAAGCCATTCGCACAAGAGGAACCAGCAAAGGGGAACCAGCAAAGTTGTCAGGATGAATATTCTTCCAATGAGGAGTTATACGTATTAGATATCTAAGGAGTGTAGGTCAATATTATACTGTATATTCTATTTTAAACCACGGACGAGTCAATATAAAGAACAAATAAAACACTTATTAATATTTATAATAATATCAGAGAAATGTAAGTGATAGAAACTTTATTAATGAACGACGTTTCGAAGCCACCAAATCCCGATTTTCATGTTCAATTGCTATTTATATAAATGTTAAACCATGTATGAATGTGACGTTTATTTCTAATCTGCGGTTATAGTTATTGAACTTGGAAATAAAGCTCTCATGGCTTCGACTATAACGTTTATTGATAAAACTTTTATCGCTTACACTTCTGTCTCAAAATCGATTTCAAAATGTTTATTGATCTAGTATATCAACGTTATCAATACTATATATATTTCACTATTATCATATATAGCCTAGCTGTTGGCCCTCGTATGATATAACCAGTTAATGAGTTGGTCTGATGATGATTTTGAAATAAAATCAATTATCACGAACTGTTTGAAATCCAGTTCAGATTGCTAGGATTCAATTAGGAGCGATTTTTGAAGGAAGCTGTAGCCCCGTCGTTCAAATGAAGGCTCTACAATAGAACTTTGTGAAACGCGGAAAAATTTATTGGCTCACCAACGACATTGACAAAAGTTTCCTTTGTTACCAACGACTTGCATTGACCTGTGGGGACAATGCATAAATTGTTTTTTTTCGTTTGACGTCATTATACAGTAAGAAAGGTCTACAGGTTTGCTGTGACTTGTGTCTCGGCTACTGTGCCTGAAAAAATCACAATAAAAAACAACTTCCCCTGATGAAGGGTCATTGTTGGAAAGTCGTATAATTTGTTGGCTTGCTGTTTTTTCTACATACTCCTTTTATGCAGGGGGGGCCGGGGGGAGTAACTTGATGGAGCTAGAAGACGAAATTAAACCGCACTGTCCAAGGCGGAATGACAAAGCAACGAAGGGGTCCGGAAAAGGACAAAACGGAAACCGCTCCTTATTTTATTGACGTCGAGCGGAAATGGGTTGTCGGGAAAGGGCAAATGATACAGGAAACGGATTTTCCTAATGAGCGGATAAGACTCAAATGGCCTTTCTTTTGCCTCAGTTTACATATTCAACAATACTCTTGGCTGTTGATTTCGGCCAAACTTTGGCGAAATATTACTTGTGTTTTTGAAAAGTGAAAGGGGTATTGGGTTTGTATTAGTAACTTCGACGAAAGGCGATTTTGACAGCGTATCGGTTTGCGTTTTGACACCGCGTGTGGACGAAAATATATCTTTGAATGAAGAGGGTTTCGTCAACGTAAAATATAAGCGAGGTAAACAATTTTTCACATATATTATAATCTGTGAAGTTACGAAATATGTTTCGAATCTGACATACCATAGCGCTTAGTTTAACATACCGTAGTTTTAATACCAATACGTATATGTATGTTTTTATGCTCGTTCACATGGTGCAAATTTAATATGTGAATTTTCCTATTGTGTTATGATTGTTTTATAGTATGTAGTTGGCTGGGTTTATAGTTTACGAATTCTAAATTAGAACCGTTTCTATACAGTCAGACCTCTTCTATTATGAAAAGACACTGAAAACTGGTCATAATGAAGTCCACATTTAATAGAAATTCTGCAGGATTAGACCAGGCTGACTTGGCCACGAGATCCTGCTTTTGTTTAGCCCATTGAGCGTCAGTGCTTTCCCTTTGACAAGTAATATTGTCTGGCATTAGGCAGCGAAAAATAGTAATAGGGCACACTGCAACTCAATGGGTTAACTAGATAGGTGGGTAGATAATCTGTTAGCCTATTGAGCACTAGTGTCTCCACTAGCTTGACAAGTAACATTGTCTGGCATTAGACAGAATAAATAATTAAGTTGGGTCACAGAATAGACTATACAGAAGCCCGACTTCTTGGTTATTCCTATGATTTACCGATAATGTTGGCATACCGTAATTCGTCATCAAAATGCTGACGCCATGGGCCTTGCCAGTGCGCTTTGAAAGGCATTTGTCCCCCTGAAAATATTCAAAATGGCAGAAATCCAGGGGGGTAATGCCTCTCATAAGTGCACTGGCTAGGCCCATGGCATCATCATTTTGATGACACTAACAAATTAGCGATTACTCGAGTCAACCTTTTGTATGTCTTTATTCTGTGGTTGGGTGCATTGGGGTGCAATTAGCCTGCAGAGCTGGTGTTTTGGTTGGGAGCGAAGTAAACCAAAATGCCTGGTCTGCAGGCTAGGGTGCAATACACCTGATTAATCAACTCATTGTACATCAGCATTTTCCCCTTCATAAGTAAAATCTTGTGGTGTTAGACAGAGTAAAGTAATGAAGTAGCCTTGTACATTTGGCACAATGCATCTGAATGGTTCAATAATGCATTTTAAGAATGTAGTCACATTTCTATGAGTTATATGCCGATCGATACAAGATCCCAGCATTGCCTGGCTCAATGAAACTTTTAAGTCAAAAATGATGTTTATTTCACCAAAAACCATTTCAGGAATTCAACCATTTCAGGAATTCCCTTGACAAGTAAAGTCATCTGGCATTATAATAGACAGATGTACTGTAGGCTTAATGTTACATACACAAAAACAACACTTTATAGCCAAAGGGTCATACTTTCCAGAAGGATGTATTATAATAACTGTAATGTAGTTTTCTTATTAAATGGTACATGTATGATAAGGTCGGGAATCCTGGCTAAAGTTTTCTATCTTTTTGTTGTGCACAGGTGGAAAACATCTGGCAGTATTTTGCCAGAAAATTTTTTTCTTACATTTTTATATACATTGAATTGTCATATGTTTGATTAACCCCTTAAGTGTCTTACTCTGTCTAACGCCAGACAATTTTACTCGTCAAGGAGAGAGTCAGCTGCCACTAAATGGAGTTAAAAATTCCAACTCTCTTACAAATCCAAGTTGTCATCTGTTCATATTTAAGTGCCGCATCTTCTCTGTTGGTGGCACTGTCAGAATTTGCAGGGACGTCGCTACTGGGGGGGGGGGGGGGGGGGGGGTAACACCCCCCAATAATTCAAAACGTTAGTAAAAGTAGGTGAAAATGGAAAATATTTGCTTAAAATTGAATATCAAAGTAGGTAAAATTTGGTCAAAGTTTGAGATAAAAGATGGTCAAGTTTGCTCAAAGTTATGAAATCGTTTGCAATTTTAACAATTTCTAAGCTTTGGTTATGTTTTTGCTGAAAAAATTGCAAGCCTTGCTTATTTTGTAAAAAATTTTGACCAACCAACCCACCTCCTTGTTCCCAACATTTTTGGGAAACATTTCTACGACTTGGTCAAATTTCTAGGAAAAGTTGGTCAAAATATGACGACCCCCCCCCCCCTCCTCAATGTTGATACCTTTGTGACGTCCCTGAAAATTTGTTGGGTTTTTTTCAATTCATTTCAGCCTAACTGAAGACCAAGCCATGTCCAGAAAGAAGGCAACAAGGCGGAAAGTGAAAGCGACAGATTCATATTCACGACACTCTCCAAACTCAAGCACTATGGATCATGCACAAAAATCATCAGAAGAATATTTACCACATGCTTCCAGTTTTCATTCACAACAAGACGTCTCTGTTGATAGCACAGCTCCGCAAGCGATTCAGCTAAGATCGTTAATGCCTGCACATTGGAATGAACAGAACCATTCAGGTAGCACATTGAGTTCAGCGGTGAAAGTCAAAACCGAGCCAAATGTTGGGTTGGAGCATCAGGCATGTTCAAATGAGAGCAACAGACAACATACTCCAACCTCAAAACAAGATAACACCAGCACCTTCAAACCTGCTAAGATCAAGCGTGAACGTCTTTCCCTGGATAGTTCCGTATCTGTGAGATCTACTCATCAATTTCCCACTATGGACTTGGGGTCACATTTAGAACAGTCGCTGAGTTCTTTCAAACCAGGCCCTGACCTGACGTGGTCTCAGCTACTGGAAGCGAAGAACCTTCCAAAAGTCCATATTCCTGAAAGATTACAGAGTAATGCAGGTATTAAAATGGAGGGGCCTGATTCCGGCTCGGGTATGGTTCTGTGTTCCACAGATGACGATACGGACAATCTGCCTTTGGCGCTTCGTGTTGGAAAGAAATCAACGGTTGGAAAGAGTAATACCGTATCTGCAAAAGAAAAAGCTAGTTTAACCGGTTCTAGTAACAGGTTTTCCAAGAATCACGATGGGAGCAGCGGTGTGCTAGATCTTTCCAAGAAAGCAATTCCTCCCGAAATACGCAGAGTGCTGGCTTCAAAGTACGGTGTCGCGAAGCGTCACGAGGAAGGCCACTCGGGAAGTGTCGTCCCTAACCTAAATAAGTCGAGGTCAAGGTTTACACAATCGTCGAAAAAAGCTGGGGTTATAGACTCGGAAGACGAAGGCAATAATCGAAGTGAGACTGCAAGTTCTTCCCAAAAATTGAAAGCAAGTTCTGATATGCCCAAAAGCAAATCAGTATCACCTACAGAATATCCAGGCTCGATTCCTCTTCCAGCTAAAGTGCTTAATCGACGAAGGTTTAGTTCATCCACCTATGAGGGCAGAAGATCAACTCCTTCTTTTGATCATCGCGAGGCTGTTGGAGACAAACTGCAAAGTCGTGGACTTGTTGACTTGGGCTGTCATTATGTAAATCATTTAAAGGACAGTCCACCTCCAGGCAGGAATTCTAGATCACCTTACGAGGAATCCGTAGGTCCTACGGATTTAGGTAGAGAAGATTCAACAATTTTGGACAAAGGTGTGATGCGGGAAGCAAAGAGCATGCGCCAATCACCTTTCGATGATCGTAATGCTGGGTCTAGCTTTGCTAAGGGATTACCACAGGGCGTAAGGAGGTCTTCGTTTGCCAGTGATTCGTCTGAGACCTCCAGGTCATTAAATTTGAGAGGAGAGACGCTTCATCACGAGGGTGCTAAGAAATTGAACGATGCTAGATCACTGCATGTTACTGGGCGTAATTCAAAATCTCCTGTAGATTCTCGCAATTCTGAAGAAACTATGGTTGATCTTGGACCTAGCACAAGTCGTTTCGGGCATCGTAGAGATTCGTTTCATTCCATAAGAAGTTCATCTCGGTAAGTTCATCTTTGGAAACAATGGTTGCAGATGTTGTTAGCATGCTGCCCTTTGCACATGTAAAAATGCACAAGTTGTGCCAAACCTGCAACCGACGTGTAGCAATACTGTTTCAACAACTTGTTATCAGGATGTGTTCGCACTGCTTGTTCCCAGCTTGTTAACAAGTTGTGAACACCTTGCAAATGTTGACAACTTGCTACAAGGCTGACTACACAGACTTGTTGCAAGTTGTTTCAACAACTTGATATTGTGAGTGACAATCTTGTGACAATGACGACAGTGTTACAACTTGTTGACATGCTCGCTAAAAGCCCGAACATATCTTGTTAGTTAGTTAGAAACTTTATTTATTGTCATATGTCATCTAGCCGGTTACAAAATAACCTTCATCTTGTTGACAAGATGTGAGACTTTTATATGTGTACTGCAGAGTTGAGCCTGCTACGGTAGGCCGAGGGTAGAGTATTCCTTAGGATGGATGGCTACCCTGCACAAATTAGATTTTCTTGATTTGCTAGTTGAGCTCCTGCGCCTAGGGTTTGGGTTAATTGGGCAAGCCCATCCTTTGTAAACGGCATTAAATAAATTATACAATTATCTAGGTCTCCTCTTGATGATTTAACAGCCAGTGGTAGTGGACCTATGATTGATCTTAATACAAGTACGAATCAACTCCGAGTACCACAGATGCGTGGTGGAAGAAGCCCTTTTAGTTCGTCACATTCAAGCGAAACACCAAATCATTCCCAACAAAGAAATACCAAAGAAAGGATGATAGAACTCGGGAGTGATAAACCGCTTCGTGATTATCATAACAATGCAAAGCATCCCAATGAAAGTTCGAAGTATACCTTACCTAGAAGTTCGTCCAGGTCACCGATCAGGACTGAACGATCGACAAATACTCCACCTAATATTAAAGAACCCATGATAGAACTTGGAAGCGGCAAACAGTTCCATGGCTACTTGGAAAATGCAAAGCATGCCATTTCAAGAAGTTCGTCAAGGTCACCAGTTAGGACTGATAAGCATAGTGGTACTTATTCTCCTAATGAACCGATGATAGAACTTGGAAGTGGAAAACATGACGACCAGACTAATACAAAGCACGCTGCTCAACGAAGCCGGTCACGATCGCCTATGTCCACTGATCTGGCAAGTAAATCTGACCATCCTGAAGCAATGATTCAACTCAGCAGTACGGTACAACAAAGAAGCAGATCTCGGTCCCCTGCTTCCGGAGCATCAGGTGAAGCAATGATCGAACTCAGTAGCACGAATCCTTTACACGAGCGTAGAGGAGCACCACGTATGAAACCTTTAGATGCAATGATAGATCTAAATAGCATGGAAAACCCAGCATCTCCACTCAGTCCAGGCTTTGGAGCACTTCCTTTCTCCAGCTTTCCAAGTCAGGTCTACAGACCCCCTAACCGACCACGTTATCCCTACAAATCAAAACATTATCGTGGTCGCCCACAAAGAGGCACTTCGCCTGCATTAGGCTCACCTGGGTTTAGCCCAAGGCTACCATTTGGACCACATTTTAATTACCCGCCTAACCAGAGATACCGAATGCCTGGTGCGCCGATGATCGAGTTGGGAAGCCTTGGTAAATCAAGCGAGTTTCAGGGTATGGTTTCAAGTCGGTCCTCTGAAATGCCGGGGCGGTCCGGAACGATTCCAAAACGAAGACATTCCATGGATTATCAGAGTTTAGGCGAGCCCACGAAGAAAGCACGTGTGACAGTTCCTGATCAGCGGCTTGAGGTAAAACCTGGGGGAAGTGGTGTAAGGCTTAATGTAAGTGATCTCCTGCTGTTGGAAAGAGAGGAACAAAAGTATATTCAAGATCTGTCCTTGGTTCAATCGCAACTCACGGAAATTCGATTTAAAATGCAAAGAATGCAACAGGACTTGGATAAATTGCAATCCTCTGAAATGGAAATTAAACAACGTATCGATCTTGTTCGCGGGAAGAGAGTCCAGATACTCAAGGATGCTCAAGGTCATCACGAATCACAAAGGACTTCTACGGCATTAGGTGATAGTGATATGAGTACACGAAAGGATAAGGAGGGTGATATAGGTACAAGGAGGGGTAATGACGGTGATATGGGTAAACGAAGGGATAATAATGGTGATATAATTACAAGAAGCGATAATGAAGGTGATATAGGTACACGAAGGAATAATGGTGATAAAGGTACACAAGATGATAATGATGTTGCAGCATACAATGGAGATAACCTAGGTTTCCATAGCAAGCGAACTGGTGATGCGAAAGAAAGTGCACCAGAGTCGAACAGAAAAGGTTCTCGTGATTTTCCTGAGGGAAAAAACAGTGAGTTTCGAGGAAGTTACAATGCTGAGGGAAGCTCATTTGAACAGACCAGAGATATGCGGAAAAACAGTTCAGAGAAAAATTCTGACAAAAACAACGAAAGAATCTCTAGCTATGCTGGATCAGGTAGTAAATATAGAAATCTGGCTGATGATCGTAACCTCGCACCTTTAGAACTTGTACTGCGTGATGCGGGATATCCTTCAAACATGAGTGATCCTCCTCGTCCCATACTATCAACAAATGTTCCAACTGTTCAACATTATCCCATAACGTCAAGCGGGAACGATAGGTCTTACCATACCACATTTAAACCTGGGCGTAGCCATTGGGAAAAATCTTCACCGGGCACACCCCAGGAGAAACTCTCCACAGAAATTGAAACTTTTGAAAGTTCCAACGGATCAACCATTACGTTAAACAGCGACGGGACTTTGGTGCTTCATAAAAACGCAGCAGAAACTAGCCAGGTTGCAAGGAAGTGCTCCAATCCTACTATTCTCCAAGAGGCTTGTGTGGATTTTGATGCAAAGAAAACAGAATACCGTGGCATTACGTCGGATCAATCAAAGCAGTTTTTGGGATGTCTTGAGATTACAAGTACCACTGATGAACCATTGGCCAGTGAGGATGACGGGCCGAAAGAGGTACTGCACTTAGGGTTAGGGAGGCGGGGGGGGGGGTACCCCCAAGTCTAAGTTAAATGAAGTTTATACTGTTTTCCATAGTGGTCTAGTAAGGCTTCATCTTCATGATTTCTTATTACGATTTTCTTTTATCCAGGTTTTAGCTGAAAAGGAAAGAGAATGCCTGGCAAGTAAGTTAAGGTAATAGAACTGATGATAATGTCTTAACCGTTGACCATGATATCTGAATATTGATATAATGTAAGTTAAATACTTTTGTTGTTGTCGTCGTTGTTGTTATTGTTGTTGCTGTCAGTGTTGTTGTTGTTGTTGTTGCTGTTGTTTATATTATTATTGTTATTGTTGTTGCTGTTGTTGTTGTTGTTGTTAAAGTGGAATTTAAAGTGAGTGGTTTAACCTTTGTCTAGGTGTGACCAAGATAGGATCTCCAGCACTGTCCCGAGCCTGGAAATTGAACAAGGTAAAATTTAGTAATTTTGGTAACTCCTTGTACAGTATATCACGTGGTGTAACATACGGACAATATTTTTTTTAGATGACAGCAATACTGGCTCAGCTGGCGAGATGAATTTTATTGGACATACTGATGCAGTATGCTGTATACTTGTAAGTAATGTCATTTACTGGCACTAGATTACGTTTGAGACGAAGAAAATATTAGTATGTCGTTCTGTTTCAAAACACGAAATGGCCTATACAATATTTTCCATTTTTCTCTCTCAAGCCATACAAAAGAAAGTTGTTCAGTGCTTCAGCAGACCGAACTGTCAAGGCATTTGATATGAAGGTGAGCTTTGATACTTTGTATGATTTTTCTCCACCCTGCTCTCCTGGTCTGTGTAACACTTTGAGGCACCTTGACGTCGATGGGACGGCTTAAAGTCCACCTATCTCTATAACTGCATGATTAGCACAGTAATCCTGTGATCTTCGGAGGGCAATAGAGAGAATGACGATAAGCTCAGGGGTCGATCCGTCTCGCAGTACTGAAAATAACCAGTGGTTTTGTATCCAATCTCAGTGTAACCATGTTTTTGAACACAATTGAAAATTCTATTATGTTTATTTACAGACAGGAGAATGCATAAAGACGTTTAAAGGCCATGAATTGGCAGTGAATTGTCTTCAGGTAATTATATACAGTGCTCTAAGTTCACTTCATTTTCCAACTACGAAAACAGCCTAACTTTAATATTGTATTTTAGATATCTGGATTGGGGGACAAAACAGACAGATTGTTCACTGGAGCTAATGATCATTCTGTGAGAGCATATAACATTAAGGTAGATCAATCATGATGATATGTTGTATATATATATAGATCTGTTGAAATGTATTCAACAAAGGAACGTTGCATGCTCTAGCAGTTTTAGACTGTTCTCCCCAGACGTCCAGTAAGGCTTTCCTGATCGGTCCAGTGTTACCACAGGAAGAAACCTCAACTAAAATTTTCAAGTTTCATATTTTTTTTTTTCAATTTCTCAAATATTATAAATATGGTAATAAAATATGGTAATAAATCTCAAACATTCTGTTTTATTTTAGTCTGGGGCGTGCACTCACAAATTCGCGTTCGGCGGACGTGTAATGTGTTTACATGTCGCGTTCGGAAAACTGTTTGTTGGTCTTAGCTCTGGTTTTGTTGCAGTCATAGATTTAAAGGTAAGCAATTGGTAACTAACTTTATTTATACCGAATATTGCCGTTCTGAACTGTTTTCCCTAGAGGTCTGGTAAGAGCAATCTCTTATTGGTCTAGTGTTATTGCAAGAGGAAACCTAAATTTAACTTTATTTACGCTAGACAGCACTCTCAGTTTTAGACTGTTCTCCCTAGAGATCCAGTAAGGGTCATCACTTATTGGCCCAGTGTTACCACAGGAGGAAATTAGAGTTCCCGGAGAAAACCTGTGAAGTTTAGTACAATCAAAGTGGAAGCACTCTTTCAGTCGGAAAATGTATAGCTTATAAGTTGTCATTACTCATTAGTGAATGCGCGTATACATGAAACTGTCTTTTACAGTTTCAAGTCACTGAAAGCACTCTTTTCTCATCAGAAACTGAACCGAGCTAAAACGTCTTTGCTTGTATCAAATACTGTGTTTCCCATTTGTTTTGCCGAAGTATTGTTCATGATACAACTTCTCATTGCAGACAAACGAGTGTATTGATCAGTTCAACTGTCACGAACCAAGTAGAATTAGCTGTTTATCATCTGCGACTGAGGGACAACGCTCGCTTCTTGCCACAGGGTCATTTGACTCCACCATCACCATCCGCGATGAGAGTGTAAGTCCATGTCATTTGTCGACTATGTGAGCTCTATATATTTCTGGAGTAAGAACTTCAGTCATGGGCCATTCCATTTAATATACACACCCCCCTGTGGACGAAAATTTCCGAGGGGGGTTGAAAGAGCCGTTTCTGAGGGGTTGTGTGCATCGGCATCCTTTGATCTTTGCGTTTTTTCCAAGGGTAAGGCAAAAATTTATTAATTTCTGAAGGGGTGTTTGTGTCGGCACTTTGATCTTTTTTTCTTAGGGGTTCAAATTTTATTGACTTCGTCCACAGGGGGGTGTGTACATTAAATGGAATGGCCCCATTCGGTCAATGAGAAAAGTGAAGCCAAGATGGCGGCCATTGACGTCCAATATCTCTGAAGGTCGTAAACAGTTTCAATACCATCCCCCCCAGCTAATTCCAGTATCGCTAAACACGTTATCAGTTCATTAAACCATAGTATTAGTCTTTAGAAGAAGACATTTATTGAGCAGTATTAAATTACAAATACATGAATTATTATATTAGGTGTAGTGCTGGTCGCCTGTAATAACCATAGGGGCCTAATCAAGACAAGCGGCCAGAGATCAAAGTTAAAACACGAAATTTGCAAACACTCCTTGCAACCTTGTGTCAACCCCGCAGACAAAAACAAGAGAATGGAACTAGAACTAGACGTCAATTTCTGCCATCTTTGGCTTCAGATTTCGACGCCAATTCTTTCTACAAAAATAGATGGAGCTATAGACTATAGCTATAGACTTAATTTTGATCTAAGCAAGAAAAACGAAATCCACCACCACAACTAGAAAGAGCATGTTAAAATTAGTAACATTGCAAAGTTCGGCCCAAATGTGGTGCATTTTCCCGCGCGTAATACAAATTTATACAAAATTTGCAATTTTCCTCATTTTACAACATTTCGCAACCAAACTTTGCAATTTTACTAATTTTAACATGCTCTTTCTAGCTGTGGTGATGGATTTTGTTCTTCTTGCCTAGATCAGAATTTAGTCTATAGCTGGAGTTACCCATACTGTGGCCTGGATACTAGGCATCTTCATTGCATCACTCTCAAATTTCTTTTTATTAGTCTGGCCTTTTATTACGTCATATCAAAGATCACAAGTTGACAGTGTTGTGTATGCAAGTAGTGGAGAACATTCTGTACAGTGGGTCAGCGGATACTGTAGTTCAGTCACACAACATCAATACTGGGGAGTTGGTGCGTTCCTACACTGGTCACACCATGAGTGTCAGCGGTCTACAGGCGCTAGGGGGAGTATTGATCACATCGTCTCTCGATAGGATCATTCGATGTTTTGATATCAAGGTACGAGTGTCGCTCTGGTAAAGCCGAGAGTTGATGAGCGTTGGCAAGCGAGAGTTTGCGTAAGAGTTGACTGGAGGATATTATTGGTCAAACAGTAAAAACTCCTCAACTGTCGTCAAAATTTGAACCAAATCAAAGTCGATGAGAGCGCATGAAGACTGGTTTATAACTTTATAAAATTACTATCAAAGTTTATACTAAGTCAATACATTCCCTCAAAACATTTCTTGCAAATCCTTAAAAACTTAGAATTTACCTATGCAAAATTAGGGGCTGATTACATGGACCGGGCCAGCCCGGTTAACCGGGCTGAAAAATGTCACGAAAATCTTCCTTGGGCCGCAAAATGAGTTTTAAATCGGGTTTAGGATGATTTTGCATCTATACTAAACCAAGTATTTATCGCAAATTTATTTTACGCGAGTTTTAAAACCACAG